CTCCCAACTTTGTGGAAACAGTTTGGAGCTGGCCCCTTCCTCTTCCAACATGACTGTGCACCACCTCAGCTCTCATCAGTTGAGGGACATGGATCACGTCACATGGTGGTGGTTGTTTCATTCTCCACACTCACCCTCTGTTTTCCTTGGCTTTCTTTTTCCGTCTCTTCCTCATGACAGGTTGTAAGTGCCACTTCATTCTCATAGCAGAAAGAAGAACGAGCAGCAGTGGCAGTTCATCCCCTCATTCACCAAGGTGGCCCTGCCATTAACAGACCTCCTGAAGACAAAGCACACAGAGACAAAACCCTGATCATGCTTCACTGGATGGTGGAATGCCAGAGGGCGTTCAAAACCCTAAAAGCCTTGTTTGCCAAAGACGTGGTACTGAAGCATCTGGATCTTTAACAAGCCTTTGTAGTCCAGGCAGATGCCAGTGATGTGGCAGTAGCTGCTGTACTTCTCCAGGTGAGCAAACAGGGCATGTTACAACCGTGTGCATATACCATCTGCAAACTCACTGAAACGGAATGGTAGTGGGCCATCTGAGAGAAAGAGACTTTAGCTCTCCAGTGGGCCCTCATGACATGATGCCACCTCCTGGAGGGCAATAAAGTGCTATTCAAGGTGTGGATGGACCATAAAAACCTTGAGGCACTCCAGGCTCCACGGAGTTTGTCACCCAAACAGGTACGGTGGGCACAGTACTTCCAATGCTTCCTGGCAGAGGCATTGTCCAGGATGCCACAATACAATAGTCACCGAGGTGGTGTACACCATCATTCCCCCTTCACTGCAACAAGCTGTGGTGATTTCAGCCCGGTGGCCGGTCATAACTGCAGATGAATTGACCCATCGCTTATAGACTGAACTACTAACTGACCCTTGGTTCCTGGAGAACCGGACATTGCTCATCCATGTGATGGGTTGGCATGGAAAGGCAGTAAATTGTATGTGCCCCACTCCCTGAGGCCACAGGTGCTACGGAGGTGCCATGATGTGAAACAGGCAGGACACTTCAGATACCTAAAAACCCTGCATTTAGCCAAAAGGCAATTCTGGTGGCCCAGGATGCAACTTGACATAGAAGACTAGGTCAAAAGCTGCCCAGTCTACACAACCGCAAAACCCTGAATAGGGAAGCCCCCTGACCTCTTATAGTCTGTGGCTGACCCAACCTGGCCGTGGGAGGAGATAGTTATGGACTTCATTGTGGAGCTGCCAGAGAGCAACGGCCAGACCATCATATGGATGGTCATCGATGTATTTTCAAAACAGGCCCATTTTGTACCCTGTCCTAGCTTGCCATAGGCACGGAAGTTGGCTAAACTGTTTCTGTTACATATCTATCACCTCCATGGTGTGCCATGGAGGATCATTTCAGATTGGGAGGTCCAATTCATGGCCAGGTTCTGGCAGGAGTTTGTCCAGATGCTAGGGTCATCCCAGGGGTTAAGCTCNTACATGTAAATATTTTCTTACTATGCTTGAATAACAAAAGTAATTGGAGGTTTTGGTGAACCATAGATCATCCAGGCATCCCAAAGGAGGGTGTTAAACGTCTAAATGACAGGTAGGCCTCAACGTATGACCAAAATTGGGACCATAATTTCCATTGCTAAACAAGGCAGTTGTTAAGTGAGCCACACACGATTTTACAACACTTTTCCCCATCGTTGCTAAGCAATCCCTGCAGTTAAGTGAATCATGCAGCTGTTAAGCGAATCTGGCTTCCCACGTTGACTTTGCTTGTCAGAAGTCAGCTGGGAAGGTTGCAAATAGCAGTCACCTGACTCCAGGATGCTGCAACCATTATAAATACATGCTGGTTGCCAAGCATCAGAATTTTGATCACGTGACTATGGAGATGCTGCAACAGTCATAAGTGGGAGGATCAGTCATAAGTCACTTTTTTCAGTGTTGTTGTAACTTTGAATGGAGGCAAAAGATATGATTGTAAGTCAAGGACTATCTGTATCTGCAGCTTTAACCTTCCAATTAGCATCTAACTAGATTTCAGCTGCATCTCTGCACCAGGCACAATAGGATAATTTCCTTATTGCCAAAATGCAAAATAACCCAGGCTCACAAGAAGTTGTTATACTTCTGAGTGTTTTTCAAGCTTAGCAAGTTTAAGACATGTGGACTTCAATTCCCAGAATTCCACAGGCAGCATGAGACCTGATCATTTGATTACTCCCAAGTCAGTAACATGAAAGAATTACCAACTTTAAAGATATTGAGCATTGTATCTCTGTATGAATTGATTTAATAAGATTCCATACTTATCACGCTCGTGTCTCTACTTGGACGGAACCATCAAGGCACTTCTACTGGATTGCCTCTTGTCCCATTTTGGGGGGCTCTGATTTAATATTTCCGCCTCCTCCTCACTAAATGCATGGATTGACCTCAAATGGATTGAGGTCATTTTCTACTGGTGGATTAATCTATCAAAATGTAATATAAACTGGCCCTTCATCACAAGGACACAGCTTTAAAGTGTTACATATTGACAGTAGAGAAAT